AGTAGTATCAAAGCAAGGAATTCCTATTTTTATTTGATTGTTTATAACTCAATCCTTTCGTAAAGCATGCCAAATGGCACAGCCAGTTGCCGTTAGTGAACGCGTCTGTGGTCTATGCAATTTCGCTTTACCATAACTTCAGTGACAGCCCTACGTGTGGGTGTAGGGTACCAATAAACAAAGAACTGGACAACATTTGTCAAAATTCCTTGTGACGCAGGCACATGCTGCACTGGTATACCCTCCACTGCTCACAGGACAGCCACAATCGCATTTGTGTTGTACGGCTCTCCTATCCACTCCACCAGAATGAAGATTAAAAGTAACTTTGATGCTGAATAGCTAAAGCGCCATTCCGGATCGTGAGCAATACATTCGAAGTGTTGGTCAAGCCTCTCCTATTTACTCAGTGCATGATTCAATCGTCACAAAAGCATGCCTTAGAATAAACGAAGCAATTTGTAGCAGTGGGATTTCGTACCTTCTATAAATGCATCCGCTGAGAGATATATTTCTACGCAATTTGCGACGAAGACATCGGTGTGTACTCAACTACCGCCTACTATCCTAGATGGATGAACTCATTATAATAGCCCCTGTTTACATCCCTCAAATTTTGGCATCGTTTACAAATTGACGACTGCTTTTCTGTTCAGCAGTTTTTCTGCACGTAACCTCTGGGTTTTGAAACTGAATTATTTTACCAATCTAAGCCATATTGAAACCAAATTGTGCGCGGGAACAAAATGAGCTTTGCATTTCTAAAGCAGTCTGTGTCAGAATCAGATGTAGGTTTACGTGGATCTGAAGTGGATCCACGCCATCGAAGGCGTCTATTTGTTGATGTAGGAATTCCAGCCGCACTCAGTTGTAAGCCATTACAATGCTTGAATTCAATTCAAAGGAGTGGATAAATCTCATTCATTTCCTGTCATTCACTGAATTTGGCATGATTTGCCTGCGTCAAGTCAGGTAAGGGTAAGCAGACGAGATATGGCACTATAATCAACCAATAATCTATCCATTGGATCAATCCACCAACTCGAAAGCACCAATCATTCCAGGTTTCCCAGTGACCCTGTCTTCCTTTCACTTCCCGCTTATCGTGAACTGGAGATCAGCAAACACGTGGAAGGGCTATTGAAGTCATATGTGAGGCTGCTCGAAGGCGCAGTTTCTGTTTCCGTCTAAGGCATAGACGGTTTGGCAGTGTTCAATGTACCTTACAAAATGCCTGCAATAACTCTGATAAACTTTGACACAAGCTAGGGACTCTATTCCAATAGGGCGTATTCAGAAATCATACAAATGACGCTAGTTTTCCTGTTTATTTTAAACTAAGTTTAAATTTAAGTTGAAGCCTCAATTACGTTAAGCGTGTTATTTTGCTCATTTTAACTGATAAGAAGTTGTCGATGCTTAATACCATAACTTCATTCCCTTTTCTTGTTCGCGGGTATTCGCCTTGTAGTATGCGGAAGTTCACAGAAGCCAAACAAGCACGCAAGTCCCACTTCACCCAAAGATCACTCCGGTAAATCCATCCTTTCTGTTTTACTAAGTTACTAGTTGACGCAAATACGCCATTTGAGCACTGTGGACTGCGTCTGACCTCAATGGCTGAACCAGTTTTTCAGTCTACTGACCTAGTTCATAGCCAACGATGTGCTTTTCGAGGTGTTTTTACTTGCTAAACATTTATCCTTTGTGCATAAGGACTTAATAATACGCACCCACCAGTATAATGGGCCATTAGTAGTGGGCTGAACTGAATAGTATGGATAATAAGCACTTACTTCGGAGTTGAGCTTGGTTTGAAATGGTCACGCATGTATTCATCGTTGTTGTTAATTCAAGTTTTCAGTCTTGCTTGTTTAAGCATTGCTTTATACCACTATTCTTTCCAGAAAAAAAGTGTGACATTTAGAATGCGACTATGTTCACCCTTTTGTGTTAACGTGAGAGTAGAGTTCATTGAATCAAACACTAACTATAACGCATTGTTGGATGTGCCTCAGAAGACTTGTTCCACTTTTAACGCCCTTGACTGCCTAACGCTTGAATTATCCCGAAGCAATCCTGCAAACCTGGGCCGTACTAATGGTGTGAGGAGCCTGGAAGGCAGTTGAAGGGTCGCTGATTACTGGAAGTCACATCCTCGTAGACCACTGCCAATTAGTTTGAACCTAACTTGTGCAGAAGCTACCACTCGTGTTTGTGCCAACTCATTTTCATCGCCTTGTAAGAGAAGAATTTGCCACTTTTATTCCAAAATTGCCTGCTACTCCCAAAGTTTTGCCCACCTCATGGGCTTGTTTATGTGTAACATGGCGTACTTACATAATCTGTCAACAATACCATGCGTTGTTTCAATACACCGGTTTTCCTCATTGAGGTGAGGGAGTGCGATGAAGTACGAGAACTTCGGAAGCAGCAGCAGCAGCAGCAGCAGTAGTGGAGACCGAAAAACTGTGAAGAGAATTGTCAAAACACTTCCATTCAGGCTACTTTGCATGACTGGACCATCTAAACAATCACATTCAAATATCAACGAAATAGTAATGCAGCTAACGTTAATGCTACTTAATGCGGTCTTCTACTGCATCGTCGCCAATGAACTTATAAATGTTGTTCCCGTTTCGCTAAGCAAAATATGCTGTCGTGGGAGAACTCTTATGAGCTGAAAACATGTCTTTTCATCACTCACCAAGGGCATTAATGTAAGCCCGCTTCCATCTCACGATAGTTCACCCCCAAAGGCATCAGAAGACTTGTATTAAGGAAGCTACACTAGTAAGCGAATGGAGTGAGAGGCACACCGTTCACGAGCGGAAAGGCTGAGACTGAACATACCAGAAGGCACTCCGCTGGAATGACGGAAAAAAGCACGGAGAGTAAAGAGCATCGGCTGGAGCATTTGCAGGTTCAATACCCTTTAAGAAAACTTACCATTGCATGCTACGACGACGTTAGCGAGATAATGGATATGTTCAGTTGTACATCGAAATATGATCAGCTAATATGTGGTCTACCGCAACTTTTATGCTGATCCTTAAAATGGAAGGCACTGAAGCAAATAAAGCCCATATGCTGCCACCAATGCTAACGAAATGGGCACCAACATGAACCCGTCCAGATACAAAGAAAAGAGTTTGATTCAAAGGGAATCACTATGGAATCATGACCTGGCAGATGGAAATAAAGTGGTTTTATCAGGGAAAGCATCAAGGGAGACATGAAAATCCTCCTCCTTTTATGAGACTAGTTTTGACGCAAGGGAGAGAGAGGGGAATATGAGGAAACAGCAATGATGAAGGAAGATAAAATGGGGTAAAATTACCTTAATAGGGGAATACGTTTGCAACTTACGGGTTATGGGAAAACCCCACACCGCACCACCGCCAACCTAAAAGGACGAGTGGCGTGATGATCATGAAAGCCATGCCGCTAGAGACGCTGTTTATTTATAGTAAGGACGGTGGACATTCATCCGTTTACTTAATTTTTTATACATTTATAGGAAATGTTTGGTTAAGTAGGCATTAAATCGGAAGCGGTTACAATGTAAGTCAAGGGAGTGCGGTGATAGCGGGTCCCTATCACACCTGTGCCCTCCTCATTATTACGCACTTTCACAACAGCAGATGTGAATGTGATGTGATGTAAATTCCAATTACAGACGCTGTTGTTTCGAGTGCGGCTACGTGTATCGCAAAGCATCAGCCACAGAATATGATGGGATGGAAACTGCAACCGGCGTTATCATCATCACCAGGTAGAGCAAAGCTAACAAATGTATCGCCATTGGGAGGGGTTGACGAACTCCTTTGCACCCAAACTGAAATCATCCTTTCACCACCTGTTGCTGGCAAACAAACCACATGCACTGCACTGGTAGCTGGTCTGCCTGTATTTTATCCGACGACGGCCCTCTCCCTTGAGGCATCGCAAGTATTGCACTCCACCCTCTCTCGCGCGATACGCGATGACTTTTCACGCGACCTACCCGCATGAAATGACTGTGACCTATCACCTCCACAACTGTGCGACAAGTTGCCTCGACGATTGGAAAGTAGGTTTTCTAATCACTAGGCTAATTTTTGTGGCAGTCATGCTTAAGTGGCAACACTTAAAGCCGCACATTTACATTGCACAAGGCCTCAACATCTCACTCCACATGAAGCATACTCATAGAGCGATTTCAGGCTACACGAAACAGCATACGAGTGTGATATCGTTTCGGTTTTGCAATCCACAGCTTTCAAATCTAGGCAGTGAATATCAATGAAAACAAAGATCGGATTCGCTCACTTGTCATTGTGTCAAGGTCAAGGTCTCCAATAGAGGCGGAGGCTGCTTCATCAGTTAAGGCCGCAGCTGCAAAGCTAGCGGGATCATTCGCCACCCAGACCAACGGTGGTGGCAGTGAAGGGGTCCTAAACCCAGCTAAAGACATGAGTCGTCACTATTAAGAGCGAACAACTCTCCTTAGATGGGGTCTTGTCCAAAACATTTAAAAGTAAGTAGAATGCCACAGAATGACAACAAGGCACCCGAGTTAGATACAGCACTTTCTTCGGGTGCATTCACAACTGGCACCAGCCTCTTTAATTCTAACCAGTGTCTAGAGGACGCACTATGTTCCATAGTTGAATTCATTACAGTAGTCGATGAATGCAGGAACTACACACGTGCACAATAACGTCCCATAAAATGACTCTGCACCTCGCACTATGTTGAAATCACCAAATGGGGGAAATGGTGAAAATTTGACTTGACGTGCTGATCAAAAATTGAAAATCTCGTTTGTATTAATTCCCAGAAAGCCTACACTAGGCACTTTAACTCAGGAAATAAATATGACATGGGGCATTATTGGCTGCACCCACTCCGTCGACCACATGAGCAAACTGCACACGAACGTAATGAAGTAAATCAAGCAAGCGAATCTACTCAACAAAGTGCATCTTCTCATCGGATAACCACACAATTGATAAATGAAAAAGGAAGTGATGTTAGAATTGGGCAGTTTATCAACTGAGGCTTCAGCAAGATTATATATTAAAGTGGAGGCAAAGCAGATGCGCTGCTTAAGAGTCGCCGACCAATGAGCTACTTGGAGTTGCTCCCATCGCAATATGGTAAAAGCCTCGAAACTCACCCACAAAGTTAGGAAAGAGGCCGATCGCATGTTCATTTTACATTAGGGCGATAACGCGACGTACCCCAACCCGGTGAAGTTCTGCGACCCTGATTCAGCCCGTTGACATCATCATCGTGAAGGCTATGATGTGGTGTGCCTCACCGAAGGCGTACTTCCAACCCTCTCCATCTGTCGCGACAATGATACGCTTGTGTCCACATGTAAATTTTACAGTGACAGTAAATCTCTTTGCACTTCCAGGGCTGTTTGACACCAAATTGCGGCATAGAGAGAATTCCTCTATACCTGCTACGACCATGCCACACAACACGCAGCAAAGTAAATCTCTTCTAATTCCTATATTTGAGCTTCCAGGGCTGTTCGACACCAAATTAGAGTGCCTAATTTATGCCGCAGAAAGGAGAAGCCTATCAAAACTGCTAATTTTGTGAGTGGACGTATGTAGCAAATCGTCGCCGAAAAAATCTGCGGGTAAGAAATATTGCGACAAAGTAGTGAACAAGCTCTGAAACAGCAGAAATGATGATGGCAGCTCTTTGAGTTATGAGCTTTGGTACAGGCCAAGTAAGAAGCCGTTCACCCTCAAATAATTGCTTTTGTTAATACAGCGCTTTATGCTTGGATAAGAATAAAAAGGCTCCAAAGCGTGGCATAGCATTTGAAAAGAATTTTTAACTAGAGATTCCAGACAACTGTGCATGTCGACTTGTTGGTTTGTCTCTTTTCAACAGGAGGGTTTTCCCTCCGCTCAGTATAGGTCAACTCAGAGACAGTGGCGGGAGAGAAGCAATTTCATCGTTACGGATTCCACTTTTAAAATGACAAATTGGGCTTTTGTGAAAGTGAATTAAAAGCTCTCATTCATTTTTTAAAATCAGGCAAGAAGAAATATTAATTTCTACAGTAGCTTCTTTCCTCGTCCGATTATGGGGCAGCCGGGAGGCTCTCTCTTGGTAGGTCCTCCATTCCATCGTTACTGATTCATCTCATAGATGCACACTGTGCCATGAAAGGTGAGATAATGAAATCGTAACTACTTCTCAGTGTCTTTTGGACGTAAGTACCTCCAAAGCAGCCGCAGCATATATGAAGTGCGATTAAGTAATTGCAAACATTGCTCAGCCAATTGTGACGGAGATAAGATTCAAGCTAATTAGGCATCAGGCGAAATCAGCAAAGGCACCTTCATCATTGTGCAAAACGTGACCGATTAGAGCTTGTGTAAGCAGCGGTGGTCTCGATGGTAATGACATTCAGCGCTTGCCATGGAGGAAAAGGGGACGAAAAGACTTTAGTGATAATGAACATATTTAACAATCGGCGTTCATTTAGAAGCGAAGATGTGGAAATTATTCCCATTTATAGAAGTGAAAATGTTTGTGCCTTATAGTAATTTTGGGTGTAATTTCATAAACAGATGTGTTCAAAAATGGAGTGTGAATAAAGTAAAGCATTCGTAGGCTGGTGAATTCATCAAGCAATAATTATTCATAGGATGCAAAAAAGATTCTATCTTAGTAATTTAAAAACGCATATTAAAAAAGGCACATTATTTTTTAAGAATGACAAGTATTGTCAAGCATTGTGCATTATGAAAGATATATTTTTGCACAAAATTTAACACGAGAAGAAAGAAGTCACTGTGCTTTCGTGAGACAACAAATACTGTACGAAGCGAGTCGCCATAGCTTGTCAACTTAGGTGATGCCTCAATGCCCTGTGCTCAAATTAATCGGACTCAAACCTTAACCACCAATAACAGCAGTATTAACGCATCCATTGCAGATGCCATGACTGAATATTTATTTTAAATTCTAAGATGATGAAGAGCTTTCGTAATTTATGGGCGGAAGTACGCAAAAGTGATAGAACGTAAAATTCAAATGCCGTTTTAATTTGCGCCCTGAAATTTTAC